TTTCATGGAAAAACTGAAATCGGATAAGACAGCGCTGTCAAAACAACTTGAGTAGCACTGATATGGCTGTCATATTCATGTGTGTGATACTAGAACAATGTCAAAAGCTGGACAACAAGGGCTGACCCAACTCCTTTAGGATTTTCATGCTTTATTTACAGACAACTGACTGTAAATATTGTAGAGTCTGGCCTTTTGTGTGGTTATAACATGGCAGTCCTTTAGATGTCACTTAGAGACACAACTTTAAAAAGCAGTATCTTTGTCAGATTGCTAAAGCTTACAGAAATATGATTCAATCCAGCATCACATTCATATATTGTGGCATCAGAGCTGGGTATCGGTACTTGATACCTTGAAGGTATCGACTGAAATAACTTGGTACCAAGTAGTATCAAGACATCTCCAGTCAAACGATACCTGCATTCGATCCTTTTTGCACCAAGGGTCTGATCCTGGAGCGTCCTCTCCTTGCCGGCTCAGCGGACTTTCTCTTACAGCCATCTCCAGAGTTGCTAACCTCTCAGTGATGGTCAGCTCAACATCTGCCCGGTAAGCATGAGCTACACAGCTGCAGCAGCAGCAGCTAACATCCAACGTCATGCCATTAAATAATCCCAACGAACCTACAACATCAAAATGGCTCGACTCTGTTATTAAACCCAGAGATGAAAAGCAGTGTGATGCTAACAGTTAGCCCTGTCACTGTGTGTGTGTAGCAGGGCGAACTCTCACAACCACCCCCCTGTGCGAAGCTAACACCCAGCAGCTTCAATGTCTTCAATCACTAGATGTCACAACCTAAATTCAGCAAAATCTCTAAAGCAAACACGCCATTCAATTCACATCATGGGTATTGAATGAAGTGCTCTACTGGTTCGTATCACTCTAAAGGCACTGGTATCAGCACTGGTATCGTGACTTTAAACGATACCCATCCCTGTGTGCCATGATCACTGGATACAAATTTGAATATAAAAGGTCAACTTTGTGGATGAATGCTGAATACATAATGTGGATATTTCTAAGGAGCAACATCATCATCTGAAATGTGATAGTGAGTCAGTTATCCTTGCAGCTCTGACTAAGTTTTGATGCTGTAATCAAGCCCACGTGCGAACCAGGAAACTATGCCTTCTCGTGACGAACAGTGAACCATGATTAGTCTCTGAACCCTGAAGAAAAAGTAAAAGCAAAACAGCTCCTGGCCAAGCTGGAAACCAAAAACATTAAAGTCCTTATAGTGCAAATAGAAAAGCCAGCAAAGCAGTGCAGGGGGGATGATGAGGAACGAAAGTACACACTCTGTCGATCTATTAGGTTACAGTGCTATTTCAGATTACTTTATGAAACACAACCAGTCGGGATAGAAACGTTCAGCATTTTTCCAATCAGCGCATGGAGAGCTGGAATGCTTCTGTCAGCTTTTAATTCTTCCTCGCTATTGACCACTTCAGCTGGCCGTAACAAAGTTTTTGCCTCTGAATTAAGCCTGACATGGCTGACTGCAACATAAAGCGACAAAGCACTTAAACAGCACATGCTGCGCTGCTCCCAAGGCTGCACAATCTCTAAAACTGTGTATCATAAAAGTAGAAAATATTAATATTTCTTTCTATCTGCATCTGGATCTAGATCTGAGCCAACAAAGACAGGGTGATCAGATGTCTGGGGGAGAATCCTGTATGGGAATATGACACCTTTGTATGAGAAGGAAATGCACATGAAATGAAAGTGAGTCAGACACATGACCACTCAGTTAGAAATCATATATGTGATTCATACGTATCAGATTTCTCTAATATTGCACAGCTCAGGCTGCATAGCGTGTGAAGCTGAGCAGCAGAGAGGCTGACTGTAGTGATGATGTCATCTGGAGATAAATCCTCCACAGACGGTGAATAATGGAGCAACTCATGGGACAATATGACAGCAGCCATAGTGGTCTTACTGGAACAGAGGAGTATTTTCTGATTTATTGCTATGCACCCTACGCTCACATAAAAACAACCGTATATGGGTCTGCTGGCACGTGAGACCAAGTGAGAAATGTTGCCTGATGACATCATATATTTAAATATTGATGCACTGATTTCCACCTAATGGAGACAGTTAGTTATGTTTGTAGATACCGACTCTACAGTCTAAAATAGTGCTGAAGCAATGAGTCGATGTTCAGCGACAGAAAATTGATGGAAAACAATTCTGATGGCTGGTTTCTGCATTTTAAATGTGAGGATTTGCTGTTTCTTTCCTTTCTTATATGATTGTAATTAAACATCTTTGGATTTTTGAGTGTTTGTGTGATTAAAAAGCATTTTAACAATAGTCTTGGGCTCTGAGAAATGACGATAGGCTTTTTTCAGCAATTTGCTCATACTTGATACAGTAAAAAATAAGAAAAACATCCATCAGATGCATCTCTACAGTACCCAGAAATCAAAACAGCATAACATGTGGTCAGTTCCAGTTAAAAATTATGTTCACCTAAATTAATTTCCAGCAGATTAACCTACAACAAGCGCTAAGGTGTTATTTATGCCTATCCCCCTCATCTGTAATTCCCCAGCATGTCTCTGTTTGCTAGTTAACACAGAGCAGCAGTATGGTTCACGGCCCGTCCTCTTCAAGCTCCAACAGGAATTTGCTGGCTAAATTGCTCGCACAAAGCTTTTCTACAGCAATACAGTTGTCTGTAACAATGCTGCAGCACCACTTATCTCACAAAAGCCTCATCATAAATCATCGTTTCAATTGCCTTTTTGGATTTCCAACAGTTTTATGCAACATAAAAATCAACACCCACCCTGTAGCCTTGTCTATAGGTTTTATTATCATGGAATATTTTGTTTTTGCCAAAGGGCACAATAGACTGTTACTGTACCTCCTCCCACATCAATGCTATGAACAGAGCAGAGAACGTAAATCTTTGGTATGTGAAATCCATAGCTTAGAGAGCAAAGCTTTTAAGAAGATATTATACATATTATATAATAATAACCGATTTCCCTGTGGCACTGCCATCCATGACGCTGGGGCAGCTAAAGGAATATTTTCATGTAGCCGAGCCTCATAACAACTGCTTTTAGATTAATTGTCTTGTTGGCTAATAACTTCATCACACATTTCCAAATAGTTATTATCTTTCATAATTTGTGCAGCAAGGCTGGAAGCTGTTGCCCTATTCTCTCTCCTCCCCCAGAGTCCAATTTAGTATCCTCTGGCTGCAGCATGAATACGATCCCAGCAGGCTGCAGGGAGGCTGTTTGTCCTTCAGTGCAGGTGCAACACAGACAACTATCCCAGGCTATACAGAGATGTGGAAACAAAGCAGGGGAACCGGTGAGCTCAGATCTCGAGGAAAAAGATGGAAAATGAAAACTTTGCGTTCCCACTTTCAACATCACGAGTCAATATGCTGCATGCATCCTCCAAGACCTTGTAGGTTTCTACCATGGCTCTCCAGGGGCCCCTCACTTTTTCTAATAGCCATGCATTACTCTACTTTACAACAGTGGTCATCACCCTCTTCCTTAGCTGCAGCACAGCCATTGTTCTCTACGCCTCACACCCCCTTTTTCCATTTTTATTCCATACCACTGTTAACTTCTTTGTTTGCATCACTTTAACAGACATTTTTTACACATTTTATCAGCTTTCCTCTTGTTGTCACGAAGCATCTAGTCATTACACACATATTCTGATAAGTAAATCAGTTATGAAAGATAAGATGTGAGTAATTGTGTCTTTTTCCTTAGCTACATGGTTTGTGATTTCTAATGTTTTTAATCACAGAGGTTCTCCACCACAATCTCAGCAACCTACTATCCAAATGTTCACCTCCAATTTCATTTTAATGGAATAGAATCTTTTTTTTCAGGTTTATCACATTGAATCATTTGAAATACAGTCAAGTACTGAATGGAAGTCTTAAAGTAAAACCTATAAGGCTTGCACCTAATGCAGCTTGTACTGTGTGGTATATTCCACTGTGCCTTCAACTCCTGGGACAACATTGCTGTTGTGTTAGAAACCAACAGGGCTTGTCCTGTAAACATCAGACAGCCCGAAGTTATCACACAAGTGGATGATGGCTGCTGAAATGCATTCTGCACGCCTGGGTGAGGACAGAAAGCTAAGGACATAAAATTGCAAAGCAGACATTGCAAGCCTGTCCCCTGCTCCCTCTGAACAATGAACAGCCAGACACTACGCCTGTCAGCAATGCCCTCCCCTGTGGCCAGGACTGGCACAGAGTGGTACACAGCAGGCACTTAAGGATATACAAGTCCTCCACCAAACACCCAAAATACAGACAAGCATTTCACATTTAGCTCTTAAACAACTTGTATCAGATGCAGGAGTGCAGGAGGAGACGCAGCAGTGTACTCTACCTCACACTGTTTTCAACTTTGAGCACCAAGGATGGGAGGAACTGGAGCATTTGAAGTGTAAGACAAGTGTGGAGTAGTTGGGTGTATATTAAGAAATATGAGCGGATATCAGGGTTGGATTTGCCATTTCCACAAACAGAAGTCAGAGTAGCCTGCACATGCCTGGGGTGCCGTTTAATAAAATGATGCAGGAAAGGAATTGGACCATTAAGGACATCTAAAAATTAATGACCCTCCGCATCTCATGAGACACTAAAGGCCTATAGCAATATAACTACAATCGATAATTTTAGGCGTAGACTGGGCTGCGCATGGATGAATCACCCATAACTGTAGCGTTAGGTGCGAACAGACGCGCAAACACCTCCAGTATTTAAACTTGAGTCGCCCCAGATATACATATTCCCTGAATTATACGCCTGACTTTTAAAACAAGGAACCGTGAAAGCTCACCGCCCTGTTGTTAACACTGATGCTGAGGACACATCCACAGGCTGAGGCAGATCAGCATCCTTCCACCGCTCCTCCTGGATGCCTTGGAGGAAGATTACTACTACAGCCTCCCTGACGGAGCATCGATGTTTATTCATTTAAATAACGTCTTACCTGGAGAATGTCATATGCTGATCAAGTCACCTCCGTTTGGGATTTGTGAGGGATGGTGCTGGCTGGTCGCGCATCACTCAGTGTGTGTCTCACCGACAGAAAGCGTACGGTGCACAGTGCCTGACAGCGGCGCCCCGGAACGAGCATAAGATAAAACGAGCCCACTGCAGTTGTCTGGTCGGTGAATACACCGCCTGCACGAGAGCCAGCTACCCCACCCGTGCAGCACGAGCTCGACCGTTAGTAGACAAAGAGTAATCCGTTACTCGGCCACTACAGTGATGGGAAATATGACAGAGTCCCATCGGCTGTATTAACAAATAAAAAAACAAAGTCGATATTAAAACAGTGCTGTTGTGCATTTTGTTGTTTGCTGCACTCACTTGACATTATAAACTCACACAGGGGTGTCAAACTCATTTTAGTTAAGGGGCCACATGCAGCCCACTTAGATCTCAGGTGGGCCAGACCAGTAAAACCATCACATAATCCAATAAATAACAAGCCCTTCAAATTTATCCCTTTTTAGCATAAAGAAGTTCATTCTGAAAACATCCATTTACAAATCAAATGATGAACAGCCTGTGATATCCTCAGAAAAATATGAGCAAATTTAACAGTAAGTTTTTCCACATTCTGTCAGTCGACTACTCACTCTCATTACATGTGAGTTTTTTCATCATTTCCCACTCAGTTGGAAGCTATCAAAGAAGCAAACCATTTACAATCGGAAGTTCAGTGAGGAACACTTTAGACCATATTTAGGCCTACACGAAAATCGTTTCTCATTTTCATTTTGAAAAAAGTTCTGCATTCAGAAGACAATGTTTTGAGAACAATCCCGTGCACACAAAAACGCTGCAGTATACATGCCAGGCCAGTAGTTGGCGGTGTGACTTTGTAATGAAACAACAGCTCCTGCATAAATGTGCTTCCTTCTACAGAGAGGTGACGAAAATGGCAACCACACAAACATTTGTCTGGGAGGATGATGAGGCGGAGTTGCTACAGTCTACACTTTGCTGGAGAAGCGCTGATAAATTCAACAGGGTGGGCGGCACAAACAGAGCTCGGGAGTCTGCTTTTGATGTTGTGATGGTCAACTGTCTCGCGCATGCCTAGTGGCTGGAACCGTAATGCGCATGTGTGGAAAGTCTGCGTTTTCAGAGGAACTGCATTTTGTAAGTTTACATGACAATGGAGACAGTGCTGTTTCCAAAAAAAAAAATTCATTTCCATTTTCAAAACGTTGAGTTTTCAGGCACCCAAAATGCTGCTGTCTTGTAAACGAGCAGCCAAAACGCAGCTAAAGTTTACCGTTTTCGGTTGAAATTGTTGTCCTGTAAACAAGACCTTAGTCAAAGGTTTTTTGCAATTGCAGTATTATATTTGGCAGTGTGGCTCTGTTCTGGGGGCCCTCCGCTTTTCCTCGGGCCTACGCAGAAAGCCTCTTCCACGCGCCTACATGGAAAGCATAAGGCAGAGTGAGCAAACCTCTCCACCCTTCTGCGTGCCTGCGTGGAAAGCCTAAGGCAGAGAGAGCACACCTGTCTGCCCTTCCACGTGCAAATGAGGAAAGCCTGAGGCAGAGAAAGCAAACATCCCTGCCCTTCCATGCACCTACATGGAAAGTCTAAGGCAGGGAGAGCAGCAGCATCGATGCCCACAGAATCGCCGACAGAACAGAGCAGCATCAGTGACAAACAGAAATGACACTGATAAGCCAGACACAGCATGAAAAGGAGGAGCTGGGGTGGAGGCGGGTTGCAAAGCGGCTTGCAGAGGAAGCAGCAACAGTAGGCAGGCCAGAGCAGTTTAGGGCGCCCTGAACGAGATTTGCCAATAATTGCATATAAAGGAATCATGTGATCTATCAGCTGACTCCCTTCCATCAATCAGCTGCTCCATCAGTTGATTGGCTGTTTGAGATCAGCTGATGTAGCTGAGATGTGAGCTGAGCTTGACATCGTGTCCTGCCTGAAATAATGCTTTGCTCAGTCTTTGTCAGTGTAACGTTGTGTTCACACCAACACCATGCTACTTGGGCGAGTTTGAATGCTAGAATATTTTGTGTTGACTTGCTTCATAGGTGCATGAAATCGGTGAATCGATGAATAAACTACCGCCAGTACATCCTCAACGTCATATTTCCCTGGAGGATCTCAATGCTGATTGACTGTAACAGTGATACTCGGTTGCTGAAGTTCAGATTCTTTAACTCTTGTAATTAAGCATATGACACGAAATCCCGCTACTCGCTTCATTTGCGCCGTTTAATTAACGTATTTTGCATCATTTGCACCATGTTCATCGCAACGCCTGGTGGAAATTCGCATCTAATCACATCTTTACATTCACTTTACATGTAATTCACTCGCGAGAACCGTTTTATTCATGCCCAGTGTGAACACAACATCAGGCACTGAACAGGGCTCCACCCATATTGTGTTAAGATAGAAGTCTGGTACTGATACTTTAGTACTGACAGCTGTATTTGGGTTGGGGTGAAAAGCCTCTAAAGGCAGTATTTGACATGAAGTATCTACTCACTGTTTAAACCTGACACCTCTTAGCCTTCACAGGCGTATTAATACGAAGTGTGCAAAGTCATGTAGTGGGCCAGAGTGGACCCTTTGGCGGGCCAATTCTTGCCTCCAGGCCATATGTTTGACACCCCTGCACTTTAACCAAATACAGGGGTGTCAAACTCATTTTAGTTCAGGGGCCACATACAGCACAGTTTGATCTCAAGTGGGCCAGACCAGTAAAACCATTGCATAATAACCTGTATAGCAAAGCCTTCAACTTTTATTGTAAAGAAGGAATGTTTCAGGTAGCTTACATTCTGAAAGCATTCACAAATAATGAACAGTCCATTTTCAAACCAAATGATGAACAGCCTGAGATGAAGGCTGAAGGAGGATAGAAGAATAAATGCAATTTCAACAATGTCTGTTATTCAGCAAACTCACCCTCAGAGTCTGGCTTTGATGCTGATGGTATTTTGTCAGCAATAAAGCAGCTAGCTCTCACCGCTGCAATGCTGATCTCTCGGGTAAAACTCAAATTAGACTCATGTTACCCTGAAACCTGCCAACAATTCATTTATCTTCTCTGTTCTTAGTTGTCCTTGCAAGGTGTTGTATTTTTCCCCAAAATGAGTTTGACAGTGGTGCTGAAAATTAGATTCCTTGAGCACTTAAAGGTGCTCTGAGCACACCAAGCACACTGGCTTCCCATTAACCTTTGTGAAGAAGTAGGAACTGGTTTATTTGGACAAATAGGAATAGCAGTGCATTTAACTGAAGAAGTGGAATAAATGACTTCTCTGCAATTTTTACACTTAGCAAAGTCATTGAGCAGGCTGGATTGGACCCTTTGGCAGGCCAATTCTGGTCCACGGGCCACATGTTTGACACCCCTGACCTAATAGCAATGTCTCTTAGCACAAAAAGTTTTCACAGGGTTTGTTTTATCTGTAAAAACTGTCCACTCTGAGGTTTGTGAATTAACTAAAACAACAGCAACCCTATTTCTGAAGACATTTCACTGTTTTGTTTAATTTTAGTTGCTAATTATGATCACATTCATTATCTCTGTTTCAGCAACATCAGCCGCAATGGATCAGCCTAGGGCTTTATTATGTTATGCATGCTGATATGGAAATTTTGCTTTCATTGTCATATAAATTAAAGCTAACTTAGAAATAAAATCACAAGGGTGCACGGCACCTCAGCCTCAGATGTCAGGTGGAGGACAGCACTGCCACCCTGTGGCCATGTCTTAACATTACAGCTGAATGAAGCACTAAGACAGAGGTCCACGGGCTACACGCAGTCGCAGGTGGGCCGGACCAGTAAAACCATTACATAATATCCGAGAAATAGCAAACACCACCATTTTTTCTGTTACTGGCGTCCATTTTAAAAACACCAATCCATTTACGAAACAGATGAAAAACAGCCTGTGATTTCTTTGGATGATTACACCTAGTTTTACCAATAGGCCTACGTCTCAGTTTTTCCACATTCAGTGAGTCAAATACTCACTGTCATAACATGTGCATTTTCCAAACATTTCCACTCCTGTGTAGTCATGCTGGCATCACCACACCAAATTAAAGTGGAAACTATTAAGGAAGCAGGTTAACTCTTCCCCTGCCTTACAAATCAAAAGTTTTGTCAGTGTCTTAGCAATAGGGTTACACCAGTTACACCACAACTGTAGATATTAGTTTAACACAGACTGGTTTGTACTGAAGCTGCTGGTTGACAATATTTTGCACAACGTTCAATATCTTTAAAATATGACCACAATAAGAATGTGCTGCTTTTTCAGTGAACAGTATTCTGGTCAAAGTGGTAAAATCTCTGAGGGAGCATTTTACATGAAGAAAGCTACTCACTGTTTAACTTGCTCCTGAAACCTGACACCTGTTAGCATTCACAAGTGCGTCACTATTAGCAGTGTTGGGCTCTTTATTCTAAAAATGTAATTTATTACTCATAGCTTGTTACTCTTTTCAAAGGTAATAATATTACTTTAGCCTACTTATTACTCCCTGCCAACGTTATACTACTTTTCCGGTACACCCCAGGAAATTTGTAATTGCGTATCTCCCCAAAATTCAGATGTGTTCCTCTGTGAATGGCAGGGTAACTGCTGGTAGGCTAAGTGTAGCTAAGACAAGGTAGCTTTTATTTACCTGGGGGTCTTCAGTTACCTGTGACCGGTATTTTCCCAAGACTCTGCCTAAAAGACAGACAGTCACTCGTGGAGCAACATTTCATCCACCACATATCCAGCTACAAGCATTAGCCTACTTCTTTGTAGCTGCAGCTGTCCACAACTAAAATCCAGTTTTGGTTGTTGGGGTGTATTTCCTGGAGCTTCACCTTGCTGTACTGTATAGCCGAGGTGTTTCAGACCGGTGGTTTGAGGACGTGTTTTTTGCAGTGGAAAGAGTTTTAGTCCGACTACCTGCAGCAACAGTGTTTTTGTCATCTTTCCTCCTGACAAAATCAAAGTGATGGGAACGTCCACGGCCACTAAGGTAAGAGTTTCCAACTACCTTGCTGCTTTATGACGTGTGTGCGCAGCAGTCAGTAGTTATGTGATTAGCTGTAACAACTGTTTGGTTTAGGGGTAATT